AAAAGGGGAGTTTCCCAAAAAAAAAAAAAATAAAACTCCCCATCCCGATTCTTACTCAAAATATTGCTCAAGCGTCTATAAATCTATTAAAACCAACACTGAAACCGCTAATTAAACTAATTAGCACGGGGTCCACCGAATCCATAACTCCCCATTGCGTCCATCTCGATAGGAACCTGTGTCCCATCAAACTCAGGAATGTCAGCTGCGTGCTTATACTGCATCAATGACTCCTGCTGCGGCATCCCTGAAACTTCGTATCGTTCGTGCTTGGCAACCTCTTCTGCGATCATCGATCGGTTGGTGCGGTTTCGGTAGCGGAGGAGAAACCCCATCCCTAGAGCAGCGAGAGCTACCAGTGCGACGGCGCCGATAACTATACCCGCAATCGCACCGGCTGAGAGGCCGGGATTCGAAGCGACTGCTGACGTGGTGGAGGAGGGTGAAGCGGTAGGAGATGACGATGACAATGAGGTTGAGGAATCAGTTGAAGCGGATGAGACCAAAGTCGATTGGCTATTCGTCGCCGGCTCGATATAAAACCCGCGACTGGGCGCTTCATTCTGGGTGCTTGTGTAGATCGGCGGATCCGAGTGCGGCATGAAGCGGAAGACGAATCTCGGGCTCTTGAGCACAATGCTATTACTTATATTGACTTTCCAGTTCAACGAGCCGCCGGTCGCGAGGCTAACGCTTTCTTGGAGCAGTTGCGAGAACGTGTCCTCGTCGAACCAACTTATCCACAGGTCTGGATTCGTGAGGGCGTCGCCGACGCCGTGCCAGCCGCTTTGCCAGGCGATGGGTATTGTGTCGCTGATTTGCCATGTTTGAGAGAAGTCGGTGTTGTTATTGGGGGTATAGAATTGGTATTGGCCGAGGCAGAATCTAGGGATGCAGCTTAGAGCGAGGAAGAAGTGGGCATAACCCATTGTTTCGCTAGTGTGTGATGTTATCGTCTGCGCATCGACAAAGTCTGTAAGCAAGGAGTATATGAGCTGCGAGGACTGTCCTGAGAACAGCAGAAATGTGGAAATGACTGAAAGTAAAGGACAACAGAGTGCGCGGCTGAGTTCATCTTTGCTACATGCTCAGAAGGATCTTGTTCCTCGCCCGCTGTGGCTAGAAACAGCACATTGAGGGTCTAAGTATAGTGTTTTGATTCGGAGGGTGGTTTTTCTACTCAGCCCTGTTGCATTGCGGACAGACAATGCCTACTTATCAGGCCAACCACTCTGAATTTCCAATAACGTCGCAGGCCCTGTACATGGCTATCGTAATCTTGCCAAGTGATTTTTGTAGTTTAGAAATTTCAAGATGGAATACTTCCGGGCGTTCATACAAATCAGGAAATATCTGCTGTGGCTCCCATCTCAACGTCCAAAGATAAAGTCAGGTTGGCGAGGTGAACAGGCTGAGCGCTGTGAAGTTTGCTGTGGGTTGAGGATTCCGCCCGGCTTACCCGGGCAGGTCGGGCTGTGGTCGAATCCTTGACACTCGATGTTACAGAACATTAATACAGCCGATAGGTAGGGCGAGAGGAGATGCTGCCAAATTGCGATCTGAAGATGATTCATATCCTTTTGGAATGAATGTTGATGTGTAAATTTTCAGGCCAGAGTTTGTGACGCCAAAAGCCACCTATACATTAGCAACGAGCTGAACAAAGGTGCTGTAAAATGATTTTTATCTCCGTACCGCTACTATCACTATACTAACTGAGTGAAGAAAAGTGGTATTGGTAGGAGGTGGCTCGGGAGGAAGGTGGAGGCATCTCTCACAGTACAGCGCAAGGACATTAGTTTCCAGACGCACGAATCTGTTGCAAAAATGCACCAAAATTTTAGAGTAAAACGCAGAGATTTGCTAGGTTAAAAAAGCGTAACCTTTACTCCTAGATAACTTTTTGGCCTGTTAATAATATTTCTTAAAATTTAATATTTAATGAGTAATATATATAATATAAAATATATTAAATTTTTATTAAATAATGCTTATTATTTATAAAAGTTATTTAAATTTTGCTAGATTAAGAGTAGCTCGAGACCAAATACATATACGTAAGAATAGGCTTGGAAAGGAGCATCGATAGATTTAGTTTCTTAGTAGAAATACCGAGGCCTCCAGGTTTCGAGTATATTCGTTGTAAATATGTAATGCTTCCTACCAACGTCCTCCAAGAGCGGGCGTCCCATGGCCATGATGAATTACTGTGGATTGGACTATTCTTCCTGCCTGAAATGACTATAGATACACTCAAGCTCCAGAATACAAAACAGCCTAGTCGAGAGACTGAATCACCTTGATCAATGCTCTTTTCGGTCGTAGTCTAGTGCCCGAAGGCCTTTGACCGGCCCGACTCAAGAGCATCTCCGGCCCAGATACTTAATGTAACAACATGTCCTGCTCGGGCAATGAGACCCCTAGAGCTCTTCGGCGCGTACGGAATTGGAAAGTATTTAGCTGCAGCTACTTCTCTCGGTGCCTTTATTCTCGAGACCTGTGGTCTGCGTGCCGAGGTAAACTGAGGTCAGGGAGGGGAAATACAAGCCAAATGATTCAGCACAGTTGTGTCAGAAAAAAAATAATAATAATACCGAATCTGCCTACCGATGGCCACCAGAGTCCAGTCTTTGAGTTTCGGGGCGTGGCTGGATGTGGAGAATGGGTTTAGTTGGCGGGTACTGGGGGTTTGTTCCGTACATAAATAGTCCCGCCTATGCGTCAAAAAGAGAAAGTCTTCGGATTTTTGGACTGCCAGCCCTGAGCAGTACCACTCGTCTACCATATCCATATATTCAACCCTTTTGGACCTTTTGCGTACACAAAACTATTTAATCCTCCTCCCGTCACAAACCATGTCTGAGCAAGTAAACGTCGTGGCAATCCTAACCCCAGCCGAAGGGAAAACGGAAAAGGCAAGTCTCTCTGCTCCTCTCCAGGCATGTATCATACCACTGGCGCATTGTTAACCGGCTTCTCAAGATCATCGACATGTTAAAAGACATGGTAACCAAAGTGCAAAACGAATCCGGCGTTCTGCAATATGACATCTTCCACGAAGAAAAGACTGGCGAGATCATCTTCATTGAAAAGTAAAATCTCCCTCCAAGACCTGGGACTCGGTTCCGGGAAGGGTATGAGGCGTGACCACGCTTGCTGATGAGCCGGGTTCGTGTGTTAGGTATGTTGATAAGGCTACGTTGGACACGCATATGTCGACGCCACATTTTGTTGAGTTTGGCAAGGCTGCAGGTGCGGAAGGGTTCTTTGCAAAGAAGCCGGAGTTGAAGTTTTTGACGCTTGTTACTGGTATTACCAAAAGTGCTAGTAATTTGTAGTGCTTGTTAGGGGTGGAAGTGTTGGCGGAAGCGCTTTTTGTGAGTTTTGAACCGATTGGTGGTGAGAGAATGTTTGCCTCTGATGCGTAGCCGATTTGCGTGAGTGTGTCGTAGTAAATTCCTTCGCACGTAGTGAGTAGTTCTTGGAAGAGAAATCTGGGCAAAAAAGAAAAAATATTAACTCCTAGAAAGGAGGTTTTAGGAAAACCAACCGGGGACCTTCAGTGACCATGTTTCCATGTTAGACTGACGTGATAACCAACTACACCACGAAACCTTGCTTGATGACAGTAATTTGTTTACTTGATTATATATTATTAAGTGTTTAAAAATATGATGATACAACCTACCATTAACGGAATACCTCAAAGGCAGTGTCAGAGCTTTAAGACGTTCGCAAACACGCGCACAGCTGCATTTCGAATCGGTAGAAGTATCAGCTTGTGCACGGTTCTACTTCGTGCATGAGATAACCCCACTAAAAAATTGCAGAATTAAAAGTATTAAAAGTATTAAATATCTTATGTATCTTAGTCGCCGCTGGGGATTTGTTGGGAATTGTTTCGATTACCTTGTATAATAAATACCGGCTCTCTCGTTTCAAACTAGACTGATATTACTCGGTTATCATTATCCAAAACTTTCCAGGGTGTCATTGATCAGTCTAGAATATATCCAGATCAACTCCATATATATCATTCAGAATGCCGCAAAAAATGAGCACAATAGAGCTGGAAGCATAGTCGAGATATATAAAACCGCAATTCTAACTATTGCAACCACTAAGGCTCACGTCTTGTCTTCAATATCGGTACCGTATGTAGCCCAGATCTCCCATGGATCTGGGTCAGATTGTCCGGTCTGTTTTCGCCGGCTCCGCCGCACCCCAGAGGTATTTGGACCATTGCTCAAGCCTTAGGTTTTAAGGATGAATCTGATGCCTCCAAGGGAATTTTCATACTTCTGAACCGAGGATGGTTTTACTCGGAGCGCCTTATATTGCCAAGGACAAGATAATACACTGCACTTTAAATGAGCCGACATGGAAGTTCATAGAAGAAACGCTATGCGAGCGTACCCCCTCTTCGAAAATTGATATAACCCACTCCTGGAGCAATCCGGCAAAGTATTTCCACGGCCGTCAGTAGTTAGGCACCAACAGCAAGCTTAAACCAACTTAGCACACAATTGTCACGAAATACACTACGAAGGAGTTGTCTTTCCAGAAAGACAAACTGTAAGGAAGTGTGACGTGGATAGGCGTAATTATATAATAACGAAGCGCTACCGGGCACAGGCGGTAGCGATTCGTCTCTCGAGCACCCAAATATAACCATTGCTCTATCTATTGCCCCTATACTGCAATATCTAGAATAGCTAAGGTGTCCTGCACCCAGGCTAAAGACCTGAAGGAATATCTGATAGGGCTTTTGGAGAGAACCCTTACTAGAGATATTCTGTGGCAGTGCTCTGAACAGTCAGCGAGATCAACGGGCTCGCGTGCACCTCCTGGTCCTGGACATCTGTCAAGGGAGTTCTCATATTCATCGGGTTGGCTTGAGTCCAAGAAGTCATTGAGATTCTGAATTTGAAATCACCCTCGGTAGTATTGACGAATATGGGCTGTTACGTTCAGCATGAATCGGATTATCGGATTAACAAGCAATATAGTGCTTATGACATACGAATGACAGGAGTCCTAAATCAACGATAAGCCTGCCTGGTGGTTCCCCCCTCTCTTTCCCGACTCCACCCGTCTGGCCGACAGCTACAAGGAGCGCTTCTATGCTGACATTTGCTTGGAGGAGAAGGGAAACAGCTTCCGGGAGTATGGTGGAACTTTTTATTGTCTGAAAGTTGCATCTATAAACGCTAGTATGTATCTTCGTCTTGTATATCATCTCGTCCTCCGATGTATTGATACTACCTCGGACACTTACACTCGAATAGGCTCCATGGCCTGCGCTGGTACTTCGCGATTTACTGAGTGGTTTATGCAATATGCAGACAAGGGGACAAGAAAAACAATTAAGCCGATCTGTTGGCTAGAGCGCTGCAGCTCTCGTTGGACCACGTATCTCATTATAAGCCACCTCTACCAGAGAATCCAACAACTCTCTTTTTAGTATATAGGCCGTAGTCCTCCCTCAACGCAAGATTCAGTTCCTTTTCCGTGATTTGGACTCCGAGATCAACGATAAGTAGGTGTATCTCGACCAAATCACAAACTACCAGAGCCCGTGGAGTTCCAGGGACCAGGGGTGAGAAGGGCTAATAAGACGAGCCAGCTCTCTTCCGTCCGTCTTAGGAACCGTGAAAGCGGATCCTTATAAGTCATGGGCTTACTCGTCACAAAACCACTGCCCACCATCGCCAACACATCAAAACTTCTGGATTTGAGGTAAATATTCCACTCAACTATTAATTTACAACTGAAACATGTGTCGAGATCTTTTGACGTGCACTTTACCAGATACAGAGATGTGTATAATCAACAACTTTTATCTTAGAACAAATGTTCTGTACCCAACACGCAGCTGAGTCTGGGTGCCCTGAACGGGGTACCCTTCTGCGTACTAGGGGGGTTGTCCCTCTTTTTCTCTATGTTCTCGAGCACTCCCCAATTACACCCTGTCTTGACAGCATCCACTCAATGTCGGGACTAGGTGCAGCATCTCCCCATACCTTCAACCGTAGGGGTCGGAATTGGAGCCCCTCATCGCCTCCTCATTTTCATTCTCCAGCTCAGCAACGGCTCCCTGTGAGATCAGGTTTTCAGTGTTTTCAAGTAAAAAGTATTCTTTACCTTTCAGTCAATTTCCCCCACACCTCTCAAACTCAGATAGACATCTGTGCCCCAGCCCCACATGCTCTGCACCGCAATGCCTCCACCAAAGTACTCTGCATACGCTCTCCCCAAGGGCAATCCATAGCCGAGACCAGCTAGACTATTCATGCCCTCGCCTCCAGGGCCGGAAATCGCGTTCAGCGCATCCATGCCACTGCTGGACTTGGACGCCGGGCCGCCGGCAAGCGTCATGGAGACTTGATCATCATTGAAAGTCGTGAAACTGTAGTCCCAGATATGGGCGTAGTTTTCGGGAGATATGCCGCCACCGCGATCGCGGATGCGGATTGTGACGCCGGGGGTGGAATCCGCAAGCGGGCGAATCATTTCGGATGCAGCGGCGGACGGGGTATCGGAAACGTCCTGTCCGGTAAAGGTTTTCGAGGCGACGTCGATGTTGCCTTGGTCCGTATTTGAAATGAATTTCGTGGAGTTGTTCTCATTCTGTTCGCAGACATCGTCTTCGGGCAAGGGCGCAATTGTGACCTCGATGGGCTCGCGCTCTTTTCCGCTTTCTATGGTCGCCCGGAATGCGTTTTTCAACAGCTCGGTGATTATGTATTCAAGATGGACGGGCACATGTGCGAATGTATAATCTGGTTCTCCATTTATCACAACGTGGGGACGTACGCCATATTTAAGCTCGCATATCTCGGAGACTATGGATTCACAATGAGTTATGACACTCGCGGGACGTAGTTTCGTATCGATGACGCCGATGTAGCTAGAGGCAGGTTGTGCCGAATCTTCGTGGGCGGAAGTAGAGGATGATAAAAGCTCGCGGTGTGGTTGTGAAGACAAATGCAAAGTAATATGCTGTTCGGCGACCAAACGGGTGCCAATTCGAGCTCTAAGATGCTCGTCCAAAAATCGGGTAACCTCTTTCGGGCTTATGTACTTCCTAGCTTCCAAAAACCCTCTTGCGAGGATAGAAATTGTATTTGAGTGTGTCTGGACAAGGTCGGCAATCACTTCCGTGAACTTGACCTCGTCTTCCAGCGTGGCGATCTCTTTTTCGGCCCATGGCAGTAGGGTCGAGAGGGAGTGTATATAATTGTTGTGTATCCTGTTGATGTGAGGGTTTGCGACGACTATGAATGGGAGGTTGCGGAGTGATTGGATGCGGTGGGCAAGTCTGGTCGGGAGAATGGAGAGTGTGAAGTTTGCGGAGCTATAGAGGGCGGGCGCGGAGAGAGGTGGACGGCCATGTCTACAGAAAGAATTATCAGTTACTATAGCTCAAGGACGGAATCAAGTTCTCAACCTTACCTGACAAGATCAGCGAGAGTGAGCGGATGGAGTGGCCGAGAGGCTAGACGTGCTATATCGGCTTCGGTGACGGTTTTGGTATGGAGAAGTTTATGGAGGCCGTGACGCGAGAATGCATGTCTCGTGCGGGTCTGGAGGGGGCAATAGATTCTGGTTAATTGTGACTGTATGACCAGAGGTCTTTGGACTTGTGTCATGGTCACCTTTGCATCTTTCGTGAGGAATTCAATTGAGGGTTTAGAATCAACAGTCGCGTCAAACTTTGCGGTGAGAGAATGGTCACGTGAGGCATAATGCTCTTTGTTTTCACATAATATCTAGGTAACCGAGGGGTGACTTTTCAGTGGTTTTACTGTTGGCTGTATCCCAGATCTTTGCTGATTTGTGGTGCCGAGATCACGCTTGACTTGAGAGGAGGCAGTTATGAGCGTTGATGTGAGGTCATAAATCTCGAATAGAGCTAATGTCGTACTTCAAAACAGGCTTGTGAAACGTTAGGTCAAAGGGTACTATTCCGTTGGTTCCAAAGCTTCTGATATAAAGGTCTACAATAAAGTGTTTGCATAATTTCCAATTCTGTTGTGTACGAACTAGCAGCAATTGTTATCCTGAGTCATGTCCACTGCGGTGTTAGGTCCGAGCTCGAGAAGCCTAAACATCATTTGAGTGTGAAATAAGTCAATATTAAAGTCTTGGGATGATTCAATGCATTGCGACAGTCGTTAAAAGTGTCATTATAATTGTACTATGCCACCATGGAGTCTGCGCAGAACCTCCTGCCCTGCCATACGCCTCATCATTCACAGTATTCGTAGTATAATTCACAGCTGGAAATGAAAAGTGCTGCATGATAACGAGGGGCCTCTATTGTGTCTTGACTTCTGAGTCCGCTTCGACGGTAATGTGATCGTTGGTCTTTAAAGAATGCACGTTGTCTGGGGGAAACTGGGCACTAAATTGGATTCTTTTTAGCAATGCCCAAGCTCGATATCTGTATATATAGGACAGTAATCTTACGTGAATCCCTTGATCAACTTGAACTCGTTGATGATCTTTCCACCCTGATCGGTGACAGTCTTCTTGGCACTGCTTTGGATAAGTCTCACATTCTTTGGTATGTTCCGAATATGTGTGAACGTACTTATCAAGCTCCTCAGGAG